CTAAATCTGGGCAAAAGAAAGATGATAACAGTTTACCCCAGGAAGGTAAGTAATTTAGATACAAAATTACATGATGTAATAATGTAAAGTTGTTGTTTCTGTTTTTATCTAATTTTTATTGTTATTCTGTTCTGTAGATAGTAATGGTCAGAGCCGAGAGAGAATTGAAGATAGAGATGATCAGCGAAGGAGAGACAGGGAAAGGGAGAGAATACGCGAAAGGGACAGAGACAGGGATCGCAGTAGGGATAGAGACAGAGAGAGAGAAAGGGACCGTGATCGTGAAAGGGACAGAGATAGATATGGCGAGAGAGATCGATCACGGGATAGGGATATGGACCGTTCCCGCGAACATATGAGGGAGAGATCCCACGAAAGAGAGAGGGACACTTATCGCTCTAGGCGTGATGACCGATGGCAGAATGTGCCCGCGCCCGAGCCCCCGCGCTCCTCCTCACCTTACTCTCCAACCAAAGTGGACTACTCTCCCCCCGTCTTCTCGACCATGTACCCGCCACCCAATCTAAGTTTACCACCGCCGTCGACGCAACCAGCCTTCTCTCAGCCGCCACCGACCCAGCCATTCATCTCATACCCTACCGCTGTGCCTCCCCCTCAGCAGACCGTCGTCGGCCCGTCACCTGTGCCCCCAGTCTCCCTCGCCATGGCCACGCAGGGCGTGCACACGGGGGTGCCCCCGCCCCCCACCTCCATCGCCCTCCAGCTGATCCCTCAACCCTCTCCCATCCAGCCCCACTCAATCCCTCCGCCATCCCCTATGGACCCTCACCTCATCCCGCCGCCGCCGATGCCCCCCACCGGGATGCCCCCTCCCGGCCTGCTGCCTCCACAGTTCCAACCCCAGGGTCCCCACGGTGTCCCTCCTCCCGTCCCACCGCCGGGCGTGCCGCCTGGCGTGCCACCTCCTGGGGTCCCTCCCCACGGAGTGCCTCCCCCCGGAGTGCCACCGCACGGTGTTCCACCCCCGGGCGTCCCCCCGCCTGGGGTACCACCGCCAGGCGTGCCCCCACCAACAGGTGTTCGACCACCTGGAGCGGCGGGTCTTCCCTCTGGTGTCCGCATGCCGGGCCTTCCCCCCGGCATGCCGCCGGGTATGCCGCCTGGCGTCCCCCCTCCTCCTCTCCCTCACCTCACTGGAGTCCCTCCGCCGTCAGTCGTCCCCTCATTCCCTCCAATCCCTGTTATGCCTGTCCCACCGCCATCTGCAGGGCCTGATGTCAAGCCCGTTATCGGTAAGTGTTTTCACCGTACCCTGTGGTGATATTTCTAGTTTTAGAGACTATTTTTTTATTTTTATTTTTTACCCTGCAATTTTGGGGGTGTTTTGAATGAGGCTTTGGCACATCTATAGATCTTCACTGATTATTTTTTTTTCATTTTTTTTTT